TCTGGATGCTGCTGTTCGCTTTCTGCTGCATCACGGGAAGGGCCGAGGCAGCGGGGCCGGAGGGAAGGCTGCGACCAGGGCGGCTGCCCAACTGTTGGCAGTGGAGTTGGCAAAAAATCGGCGGCTGACTTTGCCAGCGCCGGCGCCGGCGCGGGGCCGGGGGGGGGGGGTGGACGCCGCGCGGCGCCGCCCTTTGCGCTCCCAAGTCTTGGGCCGCCCGCGCCGCAGAGGCCGCCTCGCCCGCAGCCACAGTCAGCCGCCGCCCGGCGCGCCCGCTCGCATGCCGAAGCCCCCACATGTGAAAAAATCCCCGCACCTGCTGTTTGCCATTGCGGCTGCATCAAAGTTTGAGCCCTCCATCCGCGACATCTCCCGCAGCATGGCCCTCACGAACGCAGACTTGCCCACGTTGGCTGCGCCCACGACAAACACGTCGCGCCCCTTGCGCTCGCGGCAGATCTTTGCGGTGGCGGCTTCCACGCCTGGAGGGGGACAGGGGTTGCGGGATGGGGGGGCGTTACAATGGTGCAGGGCCGATGACTACGTCGTAGGTGGGAAGAGGAGGCCGGAACTCTGGCGATGTGCTTCAAAGGGTTGTGACGTGCGGTTGCAGGCGCCCTTGGCGGATGGCAAGGGAGCGTCAGGGCGCTCGCAAAAGCGATCTTGAAACAAGGCGGCAAAATTGGCGGCGACGCGCGCGGAGGCCTGACGCGCCGCGTGCACGGCTGCAAAGCGGTCACGTCCGTAGGCCTGATGGGACCCTGGAGTGCGCGGCCGCAGGCGCCTCACCGTCCCCGGAGTGGCTGCTGACGAGGTGGGTGCTGGTGACGGTCAGGCGCTTGGCCGCGGACGCATCCGTCAGCCACTGCACCACCTGACATTGCGGTGTTGCATCGATGTTTGATTGTTGCAATTACGCAGGGGTGGGTGGGCGTTTGACTCAAGACTCAAGAGATGACGCCGCAGAGGGCAGATAGGTGACGAGCTACCAGAAATGGATTGAGCGCCACAAGCCGACGGCAGCGGCGCGGGACCGTGGGCACCGCGGGCTGTGGAGACGCCATGCGGGCGGCACGCGGGCGGCGCTGCCGCCGGGGGGCCTGATGGCAAACGGCCTGAGCCCCTTCACCCTGGCGGCACACTCCTGCACGTGCGACGCACGCAGTAGCGCCTCCATGTGCCCTGATCTCCCCCTATCCACGCATGCACCCCATGCGTGCGCGTCATGCCCCCCCAAGCGGCCCCCATGCGCCCCCTTGCGCCCCCATGCGCCCCCATGCGGCCGCCATGCGCCCCCACGCCCCCCCCCCCCATGCGCCCGCATCCCACCTCCTTGGGCGAGGACCCCTCTGGCAGCAGGTCCATCTTGGTGCCCACCAGCACAATGGGGTTGGACCCCACCATGTCGCGCACCTGTCGCACGACTCGGTTTGAAATCGCGCCATTCAGAACCTCAACAGTGTCAACAAATGTGAACGAAGCAGCGGCGGCGGGCTCGGCTGGTGCAATGCGAGCGCATCTGCCAGGCTTCGTCATCCAGGTTGCTGTGCCGTCATCGTGCAACGACCAGAGCGGCGCATGAAATGGCATCATGCCATCAGATCACGAGATCTCAGATCGCACCTTGGACATGAGCGTCCCAGACGCGTCCAGCAGGTCCACCAGCAGCACCACCACCGCCTTGCGGGACCGCACCTCCTGTGGGCGGCGTGATTAAGCATGTGGTGTACAGGGAGATACGTGAGGGCAGACCCCTGTCGATAACGAGCCCTCCAGGACGGAATGCATGCCACGCTTTTGCTGCTTGCAGGCTGCTTGCTGGCCAGCGGCGAATCATCAGCGCACAACGTCCACGCCGACAGCTGGCGCACGCCGCCGCCTGTCCGCAAGGACGCATCCCCGTCGACCTCAAGCGGGCGGATGCCTCAATCCAATCCAGTTGCCAGACCCACCAGCAGCTTCTCCCTCAGCTCCTCCGGCGACACCAGAAGCTTCCCCAGCAGCTGCTGCCGCGGCTCCCCCTCCCCCTCCTGCTCCTGCCCTCCCTCCCGCGCCTCGGCGCCTCCCGACCGCTGCCGCGCCTCCGCCTCCTGCTGTAGCTGCTGCTGCTGCCGTTCGAACAGCTCCTGCAGCTTCCTGCTCTCCTCCAGCAGCTGCTTCTTCTGGGTGAAGTCCTCCACGGCCGGAATCATGGCGCCGTTGCAGAGCCCCGCGCAGCGCTCGCACAGCACCTGCAGGCGCGGTCATTTGCAAAAGCACCAAAAGCACCAAGGGTTGTTGGCAACGGCGCCCAGTGCCATGACGTGCTGCGCATTTGCCTCCCCACAGCACGGGCCGCACATGCTATTGTAGAAGCCGGCCAGACAGCGGGCTGCCGAAACGCCGATGGCAAGCAGCGGCGCCCTGCAACTCAACTCGCTGCACCCGCGCCGCCGCCGCGCGCCAGCGCCGCACCTGGTTGAGCTGTTTGTGGCGGGCCTTCAAGTCGTATTTGTCGGGCCGCACGTACCCAGGGCCCGACGCGATGTCCGTCTGCAGCGGCGCGCCGCAGCCATAGCAGGCGCCCTTTTTGGCCACCTGGCTCGTGCGCGTCGCGCTCACCGTCAGCTGCTGCCCCTGTCCCACCTGCGCCTGCTGCACCGGCGGCTGCGGTGCTGGCGGGGGAGGCTTATCGAGCTTCCTGGAGCGGCCGCCC